CACCCTCCTTCCCCAACACCTCCACACCACTCCCCCCCCGTCCATCTTTTTTATCCATCCCCTTCCCCTCCCCTTCACACCAGTATTATAGACTCTGAAGCCAGAGGTGCCTGAAGCTTTGGCATAAAATAAAGCAAAAATGTCCTGCTTACAACAAAAACAAAAAAACAACCCCCAAGCTCTCTAAGGATCATCTGGAGTAAAATTAGGAACAGAAGCATTCTAGAACACTGAGCCAGACAGCCCCCAGCTCCTCTGCCATTGCCAGCAGCCCCAGGAGGAGCCCCATGCACACACAGAGGTCCGACAGGCCTGGAAGCAGCATGGCGCCTGGGCTCCCCACGGACTGCCCCATGGCGCTGGGGGCAAGGTGCACTAGGCTCAAAGTCCAAGGGGGTTCTCCTGTCCCTCACGTCCAGTCTGGTCCCTGCAGGACCACAGGGGACCAGGGCTGCAGGCTTGAGAAGCAGAGAGAGGACAGGGAATAGCCTCCATCTCTCCCTCCTAGGGCCACCAAAGCAGCAGGAGGCCCAACAGGACAAACCCAGCCCAGGAGCAAGGATGGGGGACACTGCAAAATTACCGGCCCTGGTTGGCTTTAGAGATCGAGCAGAGGAAGGAACACTAAGTGTTCTTGAGTGTTAATCCCAGCCCAGATTTCACATCAGCGAGTGCACCCCAAATGCGCATATTGTGGGTGAGGACCCATGAAACACAGCATACAAAGTGAAGCCAAGGCTCTTCAGAGCCCCAGAGACGGCAGGAGTGAGGTCCCCTTCCTCAGCTCAGGGAGGAAAGCACGCATCCACACTCAACCTCCGCCAGCTTGCCTCCCCTTCCTCTTGGGCAGAACAAGCCACTTCCTCCTTCCCAGCCCACAGGGTCCCTCCTTCCTGCCCCACACCATGTGCCTGCACAGCCTCCTGTGACCACAGCCATGGCGATCCTTCTCTTCTCACAGGGGCTCAAGTTTCCCACCCAGCCTTCCTGCAAGTATCTTGGACCCAGCTGGGGTTTTCAGAGCCTCATTTTCACCTTCCCACTCAGGGAACCCTTGGCCTTCAGCAAACTTTACAGCAACCGATGGACTCCCCAGAAGAAAGGGAAGAATGAAGCCTCTTCCCTCAGTGTGGCAGTCGTGCTGGGTCCCTCCTCTCCTTCAGCTTCCACGCCAGTCAGTCGTCAAGGCTACAGCACCTGCCTCCATTGCTTGGGTTTGCCTCATCTCTCCAAATTCACAGCTTCTACCAAGTTCAGGGCTCTATGCGAGTCCTGGCAAGAGCTCTCTCACTTTTCTCACCACAGCTACCCTTAGTGTACCCTAAAGCACTTCCCACAAGGAGTCAGAGAGACTTTCTAAGATCTGCTTTCAATCACTCCCAGATTTAGAGGGCTTCCTGACCCTTCAGTCCAAGTTCCCACTGCCTGGCATGGCTCACAAGGGCCTGGGTGGCCTGGCTCCTGCATCCCTCTTTTATTTATTTATTTTTTAAGGCAGAGCAACAGAGAAGGACAGACATACAGAAAAAGAGAGAGAGAAAGAGAGAGAATCATCCTACCGCTGGTTCATTCCTGAAATGGCTATAATAGCCAGGTTTGGACTAGGCAAAAGCCAAGAGCCAAGAATTCCATCCTGGTCTCCTGCATGGGTGTCAGGAGCCCAGGGACTTGGGCCATTATTCACTGCCTTCCCAGGAATTATCAGGAAGATGAATTAGAAGCAGAGCAGCTGGGACTGCAACAGGCACTTGAAATGGAATGCTGGTGTCACAAGCTGCCCAATCTGCTGTGCCTCAAACACATCCTCTCCCCAGCCTCTAGGCAGTGTCTCTTATACATTTTCCCTTCCTCCTGCCTCCCAGCCATTCATTTCCTACCCAGTTATCTGCTTTTGCAGGCCCATGTCCTGAGACTCCGCTCAAAGCCCCTCTTCCATGTTGCCAAGAGCCCTGGCCTGGTTCCTGTCGCTGAGCTGCTCAAATACAGTGTTGCTCTCTGGTACTTGACCATCTCTCCACTCAACTGAGTTCCTCAGAGGTCAGGATGATGTGCTGCTCAGCACCAGACCCCATGACCGGGCACACAGCAAGTGCATAGCAAATGCTTGTGTCATGGGTGGGTGCCTGGAAGGATGAGCGGCAGAACAAAGAGCTGCTTCTCAGGCCTGCTGGCTGATCCACCAGACTTCACATCACTCCAACCACTGTGCTCATCCCTATTCCTCAAGGCACCCTCGTCCAGCAGCTACAGGGACACGTTAAAGAGGTGCGAGTCCAGCATTCTAGACCCACATCAGGTGAGAGGAAAGCCAGAGAGCTGTCTTTCCCTGGGGCTTTCTGAGGTGGCCTTGGAGGGAAGTCAGAGGCCCTGGCCCAGCCTGTGTGCAGACAGGGAACAGATGGTCACTCAGTGCCTTGGAGCTCCCCAGGGACAAGCAGCGTGTGGACACTGTTGATGGATGGCCTGACGGTCAGGGTGGCCACCGGAAACCGTCCCTCTGGGGCTACTGTCATGGGGTGTCCCGCCCAGCAGCCCGGAGGAGGCTAGAGGACACTTGTCTTGGCACAGTACCGGGAGCAGAAGTAAAGCCAAGAAAAGAGGCGGGAGTGGGAGGAAGAGGAGGAGGCAGAGGTTAAGGTTAAGGGCTGCTGAGCAGGCTGCAGCACTCCCACGTCAGCTCCTGGGGTCTGGCCCAGGAACCTGGAAATGCAGGCTTCACCCTGCCCACCATCTAGCGGGGAGGTGTAGGGGAGAGGGGGCTTTTCTCAGCCTGTGCCTCTTGTTCCCCAGGATACATGTGGGGACAGGACTGCCCCTGCTCCTTTGCCAGGTGATCCCTGGGATGCTACATGGGGAAGAAGTTCTCTGCGCACCTTGCCCCTTGGAGGCCTGAGTGAGCCAGCATTTCAGGGATGACAGCTGTAATGGGGAAACCTCACAGGCCACCTACCCACCTCCTCAAGGGATGGGAGAGCAGCCCCCAGCTAGAAAGAGAAATGTGAGATGCCAGGAGATGTGAGAAGACCTGACAGCAGCTGGGATGCCAGGCCCATGGAGCCCTGCTATGGTCCAGCTGGAGGCTGACAGTAATCCCCTGGGTGAGTCATTCCTGAAGAAGAAAATTCCATCCGTGTAATGGCAGTGCCAACCAGGGGAAAATGCAGAGGGCCACGATGACATGTTGGGGTCTTTGGTTCTGAGATAAAGGCCTCTCCTCCTCTGCTCCCACCTTAAGTCATGGCTCCCTGGGTTGAGCCTAGCTAGTAGATGGCACACAGGAGGTACCCAATGTGTGTTTCCAGAATGAACAAGTTTAGGTCCTTTCCTGGTTCCACATACGCTCCCTCCCAGTCATATCATGCCCTGATCAACAAAACTGCCTAGACCCAAATAACCACACAGTAAAGGAAGGCCTGGAGCCTCAACTAGCACTTCCTGGCAGGGACGACCCCGCCACTCCGAGCATCTAGAGGTCCAATGTGCTGCTAGGGTGAGCAGCCATCCTTTGCACTCAACTGCTTTCCCTGGGATTGGACCCTGTCAGCTTCCTCTGCACTTCCTTTCATTTCTGACATCTGGCTGGTTGGTCACTTAGTGCTGAAAAACCTTAGCCAGGCCACACCCATACTGGGCTACAGGGAGCAGACCTGGGCAAGTCTAAAATCATAGTTATGAGGAAGGAAGGCTAGAAGTCAGCTTGTCCTTCATGTGCTGTTTCCAGACAGGACATTCCAAACAAAAACAAAATGAACTTTCAAAAAAAAATTATTCATTTGCTTATCTGAGAAGCAGACAGGCAGGGAGAGCTTCCATCCACTGGTATACTCTCCAAATTGCCTGTAGCTGTGTTGGATCAGGTCAAAGCTGGGAGCCAGGAACTCAATCCAGGCCTCCCATAGGGTGATGGCAACTCAATTCCCTGAGCCATCACCTGCTACCTCCCAGGTAGCCGGAAATGGAAGCAGATCTAAGACCCAAATTCACCCACTTGGAAATGGGATGTGTGTGTCTTACCAGCAATTCAACTGTTAGGCCAAACACCATGAGCCCTGCTTCTCTGCTGCATGCTGCTGTGTTGTATAAGCAGGAGGAGGGGAAAGCCCATAAGAGACTTGTGCCCAGAGCTGGAGAGAGGAGGATACCTTTGAGCAGGGGGCACCAGGTGGTGTCTCAGCGATGGTCAGCACACATGTGGTGCCTGTGCATCAGATCCCTGACCTTCCCCAAGGCTCCGTTTTTCTTCTTCAGAGCACAGGGAGCCAAGCTATCCCTACACCAGTCCCATTTCATAGGAATAAAATCTAAGAGTCTAACCATGGTTTATAAGATTCTCCCTAGCCGGTTCTCTTCACCTAGCAGCCAGCTTCTCACACACATGGAAGCCACCCCTCTGGAAGCTGCAACCACAGCAGCTAGATGTCCCAAATGTCCACGTCAGCCCAAGATTGAAATCATTTACCTTTTTTTTTCCTTCTTTCACCTTGGAGACCTAAATAACATGGTGATTTTACATTCTAGTGTCCAGATTGTCTCTCCTAGCTGCAAGGGGCACATGTCAACCCACATAGCGCTACTGAAGCCTCAGCAAACACAGTGCCCAGGCCCCTGCTCCCTCTTTACATCAGGAAGCTGAACACTTGGCTGGCAATCTCCAACCCACATCAGACCCTTCTTGGGGACTCTGATATGCAGCTAAAGGTAAACCAGGATACAGCCCAGCCCCAACTGCTTATGAAAATCAGTCATCTCAAGCCAACAGACACACAACACTGGAGACAATCGGTAAACCATGAGGCCCAGCTCGGCCATGAGAAACTGACTCAACAGTAAGCTTCTGGGGACCCTCAGGCACTCGTCCTCAGACAAGGTACAGAGAGACACAGGTGGCCCAAGTGTGGCATGGCTTCCCTTACTTCCCCACAGACTACTTGAACCTCTGCACCTGGATACCCCCCAACAGCCACCCCGGCTCACCCTGGCTTCCCAAGGGAAACACTCACATCAGCTGGCTCCCTGCGCACTCCCTCGCCGCTCCGCAGCCAGCTCCGGCTGAGCTCACTGAGCTCTGGGATGGGCTGCACCTTGAGCCGCACGCTGTCCCCTGACTGCCGGATCATCTCCACAATCTCATCCCTGGACTTGTTCTCCACGTTGTTCCCATTAATCTCCACGAGGCGATCTCCTGGCACTAACCCCAGGGCCAGGTCCTTGGTGCCGGCACCAGGCTCAGCAAAGTGAACCACGCGCCTGTAGGCCTGGCCCTCCGGGCCCCGGTCCAGCATGGTCGTGCGCCGTAAGGAGAAGCCGAAGTCCCCAGTGGGCCGGCGCTGTAGCTCCAGCTCCCGGATGGCGGGGGGTGGTGGAGGCACCACGGGCGGCAGGCGCAGGTCAGCTGGAAACTTTTTGGTTACCAGTTCAGGGACACGAGTCCGGAGCCCCGACCGAGGGATACCTGGGCCGGGGTATTGCATCAGCTGTCCCTCTATTGTCCTCACCTCTACCTGAGGCGAAGGGGCAGCTGAGTGCTCTGAGGGGGTTGAGGTTTCTGACGCGCTCTCGTCCCGACTACGCTGGGAAAAGGAGAAGCGCTTGGCAATCATCTGTGAGTTCTGCTTGGCCAGTGAGCCAAACTTGGCCGCCCGCTGCAGCACAGAGCCCCGGAAGCTGCCCTCCTCTCCCTTGAGGTCGTCGCTCGAGCTGGCCGTGCTGAGGTGGCCCGAGTCCAGGATGATGCTGCCGCGATTGCTGTCAGAATCGATGTCGGTGAGGTGCAGGTCGGAGCCACTAGCCACCTTGATGGGGATGGGGTTGGAGATCTCCAGGCGCGTCTTGGACTCGCGCTTGGAGGAACGGTTCAGGTTGAAGAAGCCACGGCGCAGGCTCATCTCCTCCAGGCTCCTCAGCTCCGCTGCTGACATGCGCTCCTTTTTCTCCTTCTTCTCTTTCTTCTCCTTCCGCCCACCATCTTTGTCCTTGTCTTTCTTCATTAGGTGAAACATGGTGAAGGTGCTGGGCTAGGGGTGGTACCCCCAGAGAATTACAGGTGTTTGTCAGACGGCCTCTGTACCCCACCTTGCTGTTGCAAACAGAAGCACACAGAGACAGGTTAATTGAGCAGTCACTTCCGGTGTCTCCAGACCAGGCATAACCTACTAAATAGGCACAACCCCCACTCCCTGAGTGCTGGCCAGACGGATCTGTGTCACCCAATACCAGCCCAGCTGGAGCCAGCACCTTGACTCAATAGGCTAATCCTCCACCTGCTAACACCGACATGCCATATGGGCACCAGTTAGTGTCCTGGCTGCTTCACTTCTGATCCAGCTTTCTACTTTTGACCTGGGAAAGCAGCACAGAATGGCCCAAAGCCTTGGGAGGAAGCTCCAGGCTCCTGGCTTTGGCTCAGTTCAGTTCTGGCTGTTGCAGCCATCTGGGGGACTGGAAGATCTCTCTCTGCCTATCCTTCTCTCTGTAAATTTGTCTTTCAAATAAGAATAATTTTTTTTTAAAGATTTTATTTATTTATTGGAAAGTCAGATATAGAGAGAGGAGGAGAGACAGAGAGGAAGATATTCCGTCTGATGATTCACTCCCCAAGTGAGCGCGACGGTCGATGCTATGCTGATCCGAAGCCATGATTCAGGAACTTCTTTCAGGTCCCCCACATGGGTGCAGGGTCCCAAGGCTTTGGGCCGGCCTCAACTGCTTTCCCAGGCCACAAGCAGGGAGCTGGATGGGAAGTAGAGCTGCCGGGATTAGAACCGGCGCCCATATGGGATCCCGGCGCGTTCAAGGCGAGGACTTTAGCCACTAGGCCACACCGCCGGGCCCATCAAATAAGAATAATTTTTAAAAATCTAAAACCAAACAAACCAAAACTAAAACCAGCTAATTTAATCCCCATAATATTCTTAAAGTTGGGTGCTGTGATAACCCCACTTTACAAATGAAAGAAACTTGAGGTTTGGATACAGTAGTAAAAAAGTCCCAACTTCCAGGTGTGACTTTGCTCTCAGTCCCTGAAGGATCACAGCTCAAGGGTGTAGCTCTCAAGACACCTGGCCACCTAGCAAGAGAGTGCATCAAGTCAAACCTGGTTCTGGATTGAAGGAAAAAGGCCTGGGACTCTGACCCCCTCACCCCCTGCCCCCCCAGCCCCATTGCCAGGGTCCTGAAGTAACACATCCCACCTGCAACGGGACTCTGCTAAGCCTGTAATCCCTACAGCAGCATCCGCAGAAGCTGCCTAACAGGAGACCTCAGAAGAACCCACACTTACTCAACATCCAGTGTCAGACACCTGCCGTACACTCTCTGACCCTCACAGGCTTCCTAGCTCTCTCTGTTTCAGAAATTGACTTTGGATTCCTTGTCACCCAGCTCACCAGAACTGATGCTGAGCTTCTGGGAGCAAACGCTGTGTTCCATCTAGGCCCTGGGTGCCCAAAACAAAGCGGGGAGGAAAGGAAAGGGAAGTTCCAGACTATACAGCGGACAGGCAGCTGTGAAGTGGGGGAGGGGTGGGGTCTGCTGGATAAACAGGATCCTGAAAACCTCACATCCTTTTCCCCAGGCCAACACCTAAATATAGACTCGGTAAGAAAGTTGTGGCAATGCAAATTCCAACTCCGGGGCACATGCACACACGGTGCCAACCTACCCACAACCCACGCACACCCAGCTCAGGGACAGGACTGAGAAAAACCTGGTTGGAGTGCAATTTGGGAGTGCCTCTCTGGTTGTAAACAGCAGGAAACAACAAGTAGAAATAGGCTACACCATCTAATTCAGAATTAAATGTAATTTTTTTCTCTCTCTCCAGGAAAGCCTCCCCCCTTCAAGTTCCAGACACAGGATCTACTTGGAAGCGGAAGTGCTTCCAGCAGTGGCCTCAGGCCAGGCCCTGTGTGTCCTACTCCCAAAAGCAAGCATGGCTTTCCAGATCCTCATTCCACTAGGAGAGTACCCCCTCACCTACCCAGAAAAAAACCAGAAAAATCCTTAAGGCCAGGAACTCCCAAGGGCTAATTGCTTTCCCTTGCTAGCCCTGGCGGCTCCTGGCAGACCAACACATCTTCCCTGTAAAGCAGTACTATCCACAGAAACACAATTCAAGTCACAGAGGTAATTTGTAGTTTCCTAGAAGCCAGGCTATAAAAGGTACAAAGAAACAGGTGAAATTGACTTTGATTATATATTTGCTTAATGCAATAAATCCAAAATACCATCATCTCAATGTGGAACCTATATAAAAACATTGAGATGTTTGTCATTCTCACTTCCATTTAAAGTCTTTGAAATGTGGTATGCAGTTTATGGTTCGAGCACACCTCAGCTCAGACTAACCACAGCTCAAGTATTCAGTAGACCCATGGGGTTTGTGGTTATTGAATTAGACACTGCAATTCCAGAGAATTCTCCAAAGAGATGGAAATCTGGGCCAGTAACCAGTTCTCTATGGACTTAGCATGAACCCCTTTCCCTCTCTGACCTCCGTTTCTACTTGACAGAATGAAGTTCTCTCTAAATGTTTTGGTTCTAAACGCTCCCTACACAGTGCCTGGGAGCTGCAAGAAAGGAAAACCTGGGGCTCAAAAGACTTACAGGGGCAGGCCTTTGGCCAACAGTCAGGCTGCTGCCGTTACGGATGACCACATCGCAGATGTAGGTGCCTAGTTCAAGTCCTAGCTCCTCCACTTCTAATCATGCTTCCTGCTCAAGGTGAACCCTGGGAGGCAGCAAGTGATGGCTCAAGGATGGACCTAGATCCCTGCCAATCACATGGATGGTCAGGGTAGAACTCCAGAATTCTGGCTTGGGCTTGCCTGTTGTGGGTGTTTGTGGACAGAAGATCTTCTGTCAGTCTGTCTCTCTGCCGTTTAAATACACTGAAAATAAGTCCTTGAGGAAGAGGTATACAGTCTGGGTAGGCTTGCCCAGCTGAGTCTGTGCTAATTAAAGTGAGGCAGTATCTGACAAGTGGTACCTCTCTCCAGGGCTCCACTTGAACAGGCACAATCAATCTCTCTCCCTCTCTCTCTCTCTCTCTCTCTCTTTCTCTCCCCTGCATGTTGGACAGGAATGTGGCACAGACATGGGATCCCTGGCCGGTCACTACCCTCCTCACCCTTTGCCTACCACAACCCACATGGTCTTAAAGGACTTATTGAGAAGATGGCTCCAGGGGGACATAAGGAGCAAATACAGACAGAAACCTGCCTTTGAGACTTGGAGGAGACAGACAAGAATATCTCAGCCACAGCTCAACCACTGACTGAATGGGTAATCCTCACTCCACAAGCCTTACCCACTCCTGGCTTTTGGCTGGGGACAAGAAAGCTGAGTAGTATCAATGGAAAAGAGCCCCCAGAGTTCTGGAATCTTTGGGTTGAAAAGGTGTCTGAGGAGTCGTTACACATACAGCCCTGCTTCACTGCCACTGCAACAGCACAGGGAGCGCCCTGGCTAGAGAGCTTAGGGGATCTGGCATCTAGGTCTGGATCTGCCAACAAACTATCAGGGAACCTTGGGCCTGTCACTTTGCTCAAGGTTGAATGATATGACCCAGGCTTCTTCTAGCTCTCAGATTCCAAATATGTCAGTCTCCTGCGGATACAGGTCAGTGATTAGCCATCCCAACCCTGGAACTTTCCCTCACCATTCTGCCTACCACTGCCACCTGCACAGCTCACAAATCAGCCCTGATGAACAGCCATCCACAGTCTCCAGGCCTGGCTGGGGCCTGGTTCTTTCTTAAGCTCCATGGCTGGAGCCCCCTAGCTAATGGGAGTCCTTACTTGCAAGCCCAGATCTGTGATGCAACTGTGGTAAACAGCTGCTGTGCCTATGCTTCTCAACCCCTGATCTAATTGAGAACTGGGCTCCATCACCTTCGTGTAAACCTTAGACTTGCCAACATTGTCTGTCCTTGGCTCCAAAATCACCGACAGCTCTGACTCCACCACCTCCTCACCACTCCCTCCTCCAGGCTACAGTTTCACCCCTCCTCCCTTTCCTTGCTCACCCTCTCCCTTCATGCCCGTGAAGGTAACTTTTCCATTTTTTTAACCTCTTCCTCTGCCTTTTTTTCCTTACATCACTGTCGGGAGCCTTACCTAACTGAAAGTGGAGGAAAGGTATGTACATGAATTAGGATAGATACTTACATTAGTTTCACCCCCTCATCCCTAAAACCAAAGGCAAGGGTAACCTGTCAATTCAGCTGCTTTATCACTTTATAAGCATCTTGAAGCAAGGAATATTCAATTCAAAAGGGAATTGATGTGATGTGTCAGCAACAACAGGAGATAAACAACTTACACATTAATACAATGGAATACAACTCAGCAAGAAAAAGGAAATAGCTATTGACACACTCATCATCAGCAATCAGTCTTAATAACACGCTGGTAAATGAGAAGATGAAGCCAGGGACAAAAAGCAGATCTTGATAGGATTTCAGTTCTATGAAGTTCTAATGTAAGCAAAAGTAATCCAAGGTGAAAAGAAATCAGAACAGCAATTCCCTTCTGGGAACAGAGGTGAAGCCTGCCTGGGAACCAGATGAGGGAACTTTCTGGGGTACTGGCCATGTTCTGTATGTTGATAGCTCCAGGCATTTGTCAACTGTCATCAAACAGTGTACATAAGATGTGTGCATTTGTTGTGTGTACATACTTATTCAAAGGATCCAAAAACTGTAAACAAAATATTGAATTCCAGATCATGCTAAAACACTGACGGTGAAGTATGCAATTGACTTTCAGATGTGTCGAAAATTAGACATAACTTCATAGCTGAATCAAGGGATAAGTAAATGACAAATTGAAAATTTTTTTCAAAATTTATTTTTATTTATTTGAAAAACAGAGTTATAAGGTTGGGGGTGGAGGAGAAAGAGAGCTCTTCTATATGCTGGTTCATTCTCCAAATGGCCAACATAGCCAGGACTGGACAAAGCTGAAGCAAGCAGCCAGGAGCTTCATCCAGATCATCCATGTGGGTTTGAGGAGCCCAAGAACCCATTTTTCACTGCTTTTCCAGGCACCTCAGCAGAGATTAGAATTAGAAAAGGGC